TGCATAGCAAAAGATAACTTGGTAATTGAGCTTATGCTAGCATACCATATGCACATGGGAAACAACAGGAGAAACTATTCTATTGTTAAGGTAATAGATTTCTATGTGACATTAAGTTTATCATGTCAGGGATCTTCCCGATTGATTGCACGAAGTTCTGATGACTGCCGACCTCCTAACTTTCCACTTCCGGTTCGATCGTGTGATTCCTACGTGAGTTGAGCGAAATAGCAGCTCATTATGTAATAAATTCTGAGCAGTAATTTTTTGCTGACACCAGTTGTTTAGGAGAGTCTGGAACGACATCAGAGGACGATCATAGGAGAGCAAGAAATGAAGGACAGATTGAGATTTTTCGATGCTGAAAAAAGTTATTCTCCACTTTTTTTTATATTTTTCTCTGCTTTTTTATTTAAAATCAAGCCCGAAGCAAGGTTCCCAGTGGTTAGCATACCGCAAGTAAAAGGGTCAGGCTCGCATGTGCAGATGTCTTGCCGCCTTCGCCGCTCAAAATGTACTGTGAGAGACGCTATCAGTTGGGGGCTGGCGACCAGGTCAACTGTCCGTTGCGCAATTCCCAAGGGAAGGATCGTATTTGGGGTTGGTGAAGAGCAAGAGGTTGAAAGGAGGCTCGTATTGTGAAACATTATGAAGTTATAGCTTCGGAAAATTGACGGGTTTCTGACGATTTTTGTGGAAACTCTGGGGATGAAGGATGAAATAAAGTGTGTCGAATGGTCACATAATCAAATACTATAGAAAAACCATGATGGTGAGGGTCGTGTGGGGAGGGGGTCGGTAGGGGAGGCGTATGGAGTCCCATAAGGCTGAAGGTGGTAGTGAGCGATCGTTTAGACCCCACCCGTAAAGAGGGGATCGTCAGATTTCTAGAATTTGAACAACGGACAGTTGCCTGCTTGCAACCATCGACTCCCCGAAAAACCCTCACCGCCCACCGCGGTTGTCACACGCGCGGTTGACTACGGTGTAGCGTCTAGTACCACTTCAAGGGAAGGTATAGGATCGAAACCAGACAATGGATGCGGCTATGTTGGAAAAACTCGTCCAAACACGCCCCCTCCCTATCCTAAGGGATGTATTGCCGTAAGCGGTTCCTTTAGCTTTCTTTTTTAGATCACTTTCCACCCTTACCTCATTACTGAACGCTTTTGCACATATACATTTTATCCCAAGGCTTACCTTTTGAAATGAAGGCTATTGTTAGAAATCGAAAATGGTTTTCTCATTAGTATGTTTAAACCAAGCACCAAATCAGACCACGAAGCACAATGGTTCTAGCTGACTCTATTATGCATGAGGTTCTTGACTGTATCCGTGTTGAACCTGGTGCTTCATGGTTAGAGAACGATACGGAGGCTTTTTGCGGCGGCAGGCACTGTAGAGGTGAGCTGACAAGGCTCAACGGAACTTCGCCCCACTTTCCACATTTCGCTCCGCCCCCAGAAGGCTGCTCCATTCGCCGGTCTTTATCTGTCCGCGCTCTAGCTATTGTAACAGAGAGGCAGAGAGCGGCCTTCCTGTTGACGATTCCAGTTGTTATAAAAATTTTTCCATCTGACTT